TTCTGGGAAACATCAACGTGGTAGTCTTATCCATAAAGCATCAGTTCTTGGGAAAATTATGAGGCTTCAACCACCGAGTTTTTCCCCGCCTTACCCGGCCGTCATCTCTCAGTTATGGCAAAATCGGGCCAGGTTCGGGAGGAACGGAAAAAAGAGAGAAGAATGATGTGTCTAAAGGCGGTAAGAGCAACCGGTATCAGGTACAACTATGAAGCGGAAGTTAGAGGACATCCCACCTGATTGCATTCACCGTGACACCTCTCTCGCCCCGTAGGAAAACGGTAACGTACTGCGGTTTGATTGAGAAATGAGAGATCCGAGTTTGGATTCCAGTTGATTTCATTACATTCACTTACGTGCTAATAACCCTGCGAAAAGTATATATCTATCTCTTCTCCCCCAGTTATGGGTAAATAGTAGGGCAGACTGATTTCTCTAGCCTTGGCGAGTAACCTGTCTAGGAGAATTCAAAACTGTATATAAGCCTGGCGAAGGACATACTATGCACCCTAATAAAGGATCGTTCGCATTGACTCGATAATCACGACTATGGTCGACTCATTAACAGAATTGGATGGCAACCGGTTTAGGAGAAGGAAAACTGTAGTCCTGGCGAAGCACATCATATGCAGATAAGGAAAGGATTGTTCGCATTGACTCAATGATCGCAAGTACTCTATTCTTTTCTTGGGAAAAAGAATTTGTGAGTGTGACATTTTTACCAAATCTTACCAATGTAGGATGTAGAGAATTGAGAAAAATCAACCTTATGGATGGAGCAATGCGAATCATGACTGAGCTGGTGGAACTAAAACATGTATCTTGTAAGAACTTTTTATCATGGATATGGCGATGTTGCGTTTGTGGGAAAGAGCCTGTAGCGTAAAAAATGTCATTCACAAAAATCTAAGTGAGAGACTTTTTACTAACCATTGTTTTACGATCTTTTTGTATGTGCCTCGTTTCTTCAGCTCGTAGGCGATAATGATTCTCCACAACTTCCAACTTTTCCTAGATCTAAGCTGTAATTACTGTTATATATTCCGGCCCATACGTAGCTTTCCTACTCTTTTTTCAATGCCATTCAGGCATTCGATGTATGTAATGCGTATCAAATATTCCATGCTTTACTCATTATATTTACTAGAAACTTTAAATACCACTTTCTGATTATGTCCTGAATGTTTCTATTCCCCGTAAAACTTCTTAATCTCTCTCTCTCTCCATGGTATTCTTAGCAGTATTCTCTTGAACCATATGTCTATTGCCTCAAGACTTCTTTCTCTCTGTAAGATAATCGTTCAGTTCACTGCAATAGAATAGATAAATATTACACAACCGTTTACATTCTATTCTTTGCTGATTAAATTTTCTTGATTCCTAATTCTTCGGATTTCAGTGTCATATTTTCTATCATCTCTTATAACACATTCCTAGATATTTAAACTAATTTACTTGTTTGATTTTTAATCCCAAATTCATTGACCACATCAATGGACGTTTTTTATAGCTGATAATCACACATTTCGTGTTCTTCCAATTGGTTACATGTTTTTAGGTGCTCGGATTGAGAATTTACACAAAACGGCCATTTCACTTCGGATGAAGATTAATTCCTAATCCCTTCTTAGAAAATGCAGATGTGAAGAAAAGGACATTGATCATTTAACCATTCCATAGCATATTGCAAACGGATCCTGTAATGGAAAAAAAAAAGCGTACACCTACCAGCAGCCAATGTATTGTCTATGCTGGTGACATACGTACACATTAAATAAGAACAATCTTGAACCAAAAAAAAAGTTTATTGTATACCAAGGGTTTAAAGAAGTACGATTTGTAATAATCTTTCACAAAACAGAAACGATAATCGGGAATTAAAAAGAAAGCCGTGATTTAAAAGACAATGAATACAAAATAATTCAGTGCCTTTCTATGTTTCTAAGGTGAGGTATGGTAATTATTTACATTATTTACATTGTTCAGAATGTTTTCTTAATATTATTGCCATATTCACGACGATTCGGCCGTTATATGTTCCGGCCTCCTGTGATTGGAATTTCGAATCAAACGATTTATTTCGTCCACCGTGGTAGATTGTCTTATTTCCACTTGCCGTACTCCTTCGGATTAAATCTGTGGTTGTTGTTGTTTTTAAAGTAGAACTAGACCAATTTACCCCATTAGACGAAAAAAGCTTTCGCTTGGAAAGTCGGGAATATGGCAATAAATATGAAGACAATAATTCGAACAATGTAAATAGTGTGTGTGTATATATATGGACATATATATATATATATATATATATATATATATATATATATATATATATATATATAAGATAAAATCTAAAATAACCTCATATGGGGGGTATAGATCAATTTCAAGCAAAGATAAGTATGTTACTCGGAGTCAATCACGATGTAACTGTAATCTCTCTCTCTCTCTCTCTCTCTCTCTCTCTCTGTATATATATATATATATATATATATATATATAT